TATCTCGGTGTATTGCTTCTCGCGTTCTTCCCAGGTAACCACTAGCGACATTACTCCTAGGGCCTCAGGGTTCTCCCCAGGTAACCACTAGCGACATTACTCCTAGGGCCTCATTTCTTTCTCCTGAAGGGCCATACAGGAGGCCAACTAGTCGATCGGCTGGAAGATTGAGTTTATCGAACACCGACTTGAACATTTTGTTCATTGAGCTGTCGGTTTCGATCAGGATACCCTTGATCTGAAAATTAATTATTATTCCCGTTACAACGATGTCTTCGTTGTAGGGGCTGCCCCTGAGGGGCAAATCAACGTTGGTAATGAGAGATGGGAGAAGAGGGGGGGGGGGGGGGGGGGGTGCAGTTCCCTTTCCTTTGCATAGAAGTACGTGACACAGTTCCCCCGTCCTAGACCTCTTTTGGGAGACTCGCCTGGATGACTTTGTTCTCCCAAAGCTATCCGGGACTATCCCGATGATGTGGATAACTTTCGTCTGGACCGGTCCATTTGGGACTTATACTGACGAGGCCTTTTCGTGCCTCTGGCTTGAAGTCCTCAGCGCCACAAATTCAATCAATTTCCCTTCCATGATCAGCTCCTTAATTATGATTCGAGGGTTTTTACACTTCTTTGTGCCATGGTCGTGATCCCGGTAATACCTGCAGTACTTTTTCATATCCTGGGGAAAAGCTTCAGCCCTCATTGGTTGTGCTTGCTTGAAGTAGTCTTTTTCTTGGGATGGCGTCCAAAATCTCAACTATCAAGACCCTCAAACGAGTGGCCTGAGAGCCCTCATATTCGTCTAATGGTTGTTCATAATATTGGACTAGTCTCTCATAATACTGAGCCGGCTGTTGGTCACGACTCCTTGCCTGACCTCCCTAGATGTTAGTTCGGTCGAACCCTTTGTTGTCGCTGAGGTGTCGACCATTTTCATATCGCAGTAGGACGGGCAACTTGGGCTACTTCGGTTTCCACCCACTATTTTGTGGGACTCTTTTTTGGGTTCGGTGGTCTGTCAATTCTAGTTTGGGGATGCTCTCCTCAACAATGATATGCTTATTGGTCATCTCCACCAATTCAGCCAAATGATGGTGCTCAACTGAGGTCACAACGAAACCTCTCTAACTTTAAGCCCTAGGTTAGGGCATCCTGCGCCATGTCAGATTTGAGATCTTTCACCTCCAACATATCCTTTTGAAACTATATAATGCACGAACAAATGCTTTCGTTCGGTCCTTGCTTAAGCTGCCACAATGACCGCACACTCTTTTTGGGTCTCCAGATGCTTGCAAACTGCGCCAAGAACATTCTTCTGAAGTTCGAGAAGCAGCCGATCCTTCCGGCCGGTAGCGAGTTGAACCACCTCAGGGCCGATAATCTAAAGGTGGTGAATAATAGGCAACAATTCAATGCATCTGAAACCCTGAGCAGTTACATTAATGATTCGAACTAGATGAGGTAATCGTTGGGATTCGTTCGACCCCTGTAAGCCTCCAATATTGGGATTTTAAACTTCTCGGTGGGCTCAACCTTCAAGATCTAAGAGGAGAAGGGGTTTTCTGTCTGGCGTGGGGATTCAGTGCGCCCGAATCGTTGCCTCTCTATCAGTTTAGATCCAGTATTGTTCCGCTATTGTCAATCTCCGGCCCTCTCCGAGCCATAGTTCAGTCTTCTGCCGTTGTGAGCCAACAAAGCCTCTCGAAGAAGGTTCTGCCCTCGAAAACCCCGTTTGCCTCCAAGAGCCACGACAACTCTTAGGACCTCCGCGATCTGGCTCTACACCAGGTTTGCTATCTGGGTTTTTAATTCCTGCATCTCATGTTGCACGAACTCCTCCATGAATTCTCTGGTAGATTCTGCATTGGCTATGTTCCTCTGGTGGCTTTCCTCATGCAGTTGTTGCTGTTGCGCTCTTCTTCTTGTCAACGACATAACTTCACACTCACCGCACCTTTTAGGATGTTGAATTCAACTATGTCCGGGAGACACACCTAAGGAATAGAGTGTGAGAGAGAGCACAATAATGAACAATGAAATCTCATAACCTTTGTTTGTGAAATGAACCCCTATTTATAGAAAAAGAGACCATAAGCTCACATTTGTATCCCCAACAAAGTAGGTACAGTAAGGGGTATTTTAGGTAATACATAATTATAATGTCGGGAGCCTGAAAAGGCGTCTGACCAATTTGTAATCCGGGCGGCCATGGCTTAAGGGTTGATCAGACTGTGGAGCCTGAAAAGGCGTCTGACCAATTTGTAATCCGTGCGGCCATGGCTTAAGGGTTGATCAGAAAGTGTTGGCTGTCTATCTAAGGGTCTGTTTGGGGCAGCTGCAGCTTATCCAGCTTCTGCTTGATAATCTGCTGATGAGCAGCTGATCCGAATAATCTGATGGATAAGCTGGCTGACTGTTTGGTTTGTGCGTTTGGAAAATAACTGATTCTGGATAAATGACTATTTTGCCCCTGTTATGAATAAACTGTTTAGTTGTTTGTTATGTGCGTTTATAAAACATCTTATCTGTAACTTTTAGTAGATAATTTTTCCTTAAAAAAAAAATTTAAATTATCTGTAACGTAAATTGTAATCAATAATTTATATTTTGCTCTAATCAATAATTTAAATTTTAAGTTATCTGTAACTCCATGCAAATTTACTTGACAACATAGGTGCTTAATGCAACATTTTTTCAAGTAAACAAACAAGTTCTCTGTTCCAATTTTCAGCTAATTTATCTGCTTTGGAAGTGTACAACCAGATAATATTTACCTACACGAAGTACATAATTTAGAAACGATAAATCCAACAACAATTTCATATAAGAAATCCAAAAACAATTTCACATAAGAAATCCTACATTTGGGAAAGAATTTTTACACGGTAGTATGATAGAACATCACATAACTTATTGTTATCCATTCACAATAAACAAGCCTGATGTTACAATTTATACAGAAAGAACGCTACCATCCATCATGCTCGAATGCATACAGCAGTATTAAGTTACGATTAGGCTGAAATGGTTAGCCCAAATTCCAATACATATAATTTTCTCTCGGAAGAAATGGCTCGCACAATTTGTGTTCACTGTATTGACACATTTTAAATTTTACAAGAGGAAGAAATGCAGAAGAAGAAGAGGAAGAAATATTGTAGAAATGCTTGTTGAGGTGCGAAGAAGAGAAAGAAATGACTGTTGAAAGGCCAGTGGAATTGCGAAGAAAAGGGCAAGGAAGAAGTTTTACCTGCTGAGAATGTCGAAGAAGAAGCTTGTCGAGGAGGAGCGGGGAAAGGCGTTCGACTTCCAATGTCGGAGCAGGCTTCCTTCCTTAAAGAAGAAGAGGAAGAAATATTGTAGAAATGCTTGTTGAGGTGGGAAAAAGAGGAAGAAATTGCTGTCGAAAAGCCAGTGGAATTGCGAAGAAAAGGGCAAGGAAGAAGTTTTACCTGCTGAGAATGTCGAAGAAGAAGCTTGTCGAGGAAGAGCAGGGAAAGGCGTTCGACTTCCAATGTCGGAGCAGGCTTCCTTCCTCGAAATTTTCTCTCGGAAGGAATGAGAAGGATCGGGATTTCTTACCAATGGTCGGAGCAGGCTTCCTTCCTTCGACGGAGGTAGGAGTGGCTCTGGCTTTCGGGAATTCGGAGGTCCGAACGAATCGAGCGTGGGAGGTAGGCGCGGCTTCCTTCGGCGGAAGAAAATTTTAGGGCTGCGGGGTCGGTCGCTGAGGGGGCAGGCGAGGGGGCAGATGCGTAAAATTTCTCTCAAACCCTTTTCCCGATCCGGTGTTCAAAACGCTTATCACGGGGTTATACCCGCGATCGTGTATTCTCAAAATAAAAAATGCAGTTTAAATATAAGCAGTTAAAACGTGCCAAACAAACGGTACGGCGGCGTTTTCAAAAACTTCACCACACTTATAAGCTGCCCCAAACAGACCCTAAGATTCAGGCGGCTTCTGTCGTCCTCCTAGCCCGGATGAGGAGCCGTGTTTGATTGTCTGTGCGAGATCCATCGAGGTTACCTTTTGGGAGTGTCGTTGATTCTTGTCCACCCGATTAGCAAGAGCAGGGCAAATAAATGCAGACCCTTGGGCTGCTCTTGGTGGACCCCAACTTGCCACATTATCTTCTCCATTGGCTGTTAGATTTTCTTAAAATTTGTGCTGACACATTTTTGTTGTACACTGACATACTTCATAAAATGTTGACTAGAGAATAAGGGCTTGAACAACAAAGAGGCACTATTAGAAAGATCAGGGAATCATAATTATTTTAATAGACAAGTCAATTAAGACAGAAATAATTAACAAAAAATATTTAACATAATTTTTTTGGAGTTGAGAGAAATCTAGAGACGAGAAGGAACGAGTAGAGGAATAGGAATGCTACTTACCATTTCTTCTTGCTCAATTGAAGCGCAGGAAATAGAAGATCCAAATTCATGAGTTGAGGAGACGAGGTGGGAGCGAAATTTGCATAAATTTTGTGTTGATTAGCTGCTCATGAGCTTGCAAGTGGAAAATGGGTTTGGGTTAGAGCTGCGACTTCTGTGAGAGAGTTTGGTCAATTTTATTTTCTTGGGTCTGGTTCACATGCTTGGTTTATTACATTTAATTAACTTTATTTTCCTTGGATTACAATTTACACACACATACATCTATCTTTGTGTGTGTATGAGAGAATTTGTTGATTAGGGTTAACGAGGGATACTTATAGAGGGACCCAGCGGGGTAGGTGCTTATTCAAATTAGGTTCATATCTCACTCAGCTAACACTAAGATGCTCACTCTAGAAGTGAATTATCTGTCCTATAACGCCAGAAAGGTGGTTTTTTAAGCTATGTAGTCCTCAATTCGAGGAGATGATCATGATTTCCTATGTAACTATCGGGGCATTCATGTTCACTCAACGATAGGGTTTAAATGCTTCATGATCCAGGTTGCCTAGCTTCCTCTCTTTTGTACTAAGAGCCTACTTGAGTTCGTGATTGCTCCAACTATGGCAGGTGAGTTGAATTGTTATTTCTAAGTAGTGCTTTAGTTTTTGCGTTATGAGCCCACTTGAACATCCAGGGCTAGATCAAATCAATGGGCCAATTAGGACAAGATTTGTAAACCTGTTATCACTAGATGCGTTGAGCTTTTAACACCGGTTTGATTTGAATTAACTTGTGCTAAACATAATCAATTGTCATTGTGCTATGATAAAATGGGACAAGGTTTGGTGAACTGCGATTTGCCTATATTGGTTGGAGGATTGCAGTAATCAATTAGAACTACATAAATAACCAAGAACAAATCAAGTCAACAAGAACCACTTGGGTTTTTCCATGCATCTTGTTCTTCCCATTTTTATTGGAAAGCTAAAAAATTAAAGAAAAAATCTTGAATATCTCAATATTTTTCTTTGGCAGGTTACATAGGTGATGATGAGTCAACGTCATCTATGTTGAGCTCAGAAGGCTGGCTGAGGACTGGAGACCTATGCTATTTCAATGAAGAGGGGCTTCTTTTTATTGTTGGTAGACTAAAAGAATTGATAAAGTACAAGGCCTACCAGGTGCTTAAAATTTAAATGATTTATTGTCTTAATTTAAGATCATTTAAATTGGGAGCCAATGTTATGTTTGTTCCATTTGGACCTCCAAGCCATTGTAGCTGCAATAGAACAATAATATAATCTATTTCAATCCTCAGATTTGACATTAGGAGCATCATGGCGTGCTCTGTGCTAAATTTTTTTCATTAGATGTTATTGAATGCACGCATTGTTTGCTAGGTTCCTCCAGCAGAATTGGAGCATATACTTCATTCTCATCCAGAAATTGCTGATGCAGCTGTTATTCCGTAAGTGTTGAAATCGGTTGCATTTTGCTTTGAACTAAATTGACCTGTTGATTACTAACTTTTATGTTCTATTTTTTTCTTGCATGATTTGCTTTGTTGGATGCAGTATGACCCATTGCTAATGTTCTTTTTCTCATGTTTTGTCACTATTAGCAAATTTGGGCCTCTCAATTCTTCCTGAAAGACATTGAAATTTCAAATAACTAGTGTCTTATTACATGTTTGTATTGGCTCAGCTAGTACATACTCCGAATGTTTTCATATAAGATGTCACGATTGGATCCGGGGCTTATAATTAACTACAATGGGAACTGACGGTCAGATGGTGAAATTACGTTTTATATTATTCTATTTCTATTACTAACAGTATATTATTCACATATTATCTTCGCGGGCTTTCATTTTAATCAAAACATTAAAAAAAAAAAAAAAAACCAAATACATAATGAGTTATCTAAGATAAATCAAGACCAATCACACTTCTAAACTACATTAATCAAATGAAAAGAAAATAATATACATGGTCGTCCTTCATATTTTAGATGAGTTTTCTATGATAAGTCAAGAACCACTTTTAAACTACAATAACTCAAGGAAAATAGAATAATATACATTCTCATCTTTCATATTCCACTATAGAAGATCTTATAATAATCTAATATTGGTGTCCATGATATTTATTCAATGAAAATAACTTGAACTTCGATATGCATTAGCTTTAACTTTATTCTTCAAGGTTTATTATTTTACTTTACTTTTACTTCATACTATTAAGATTCATATCTTTGTTAGGAACAACGTCAAAACATAATCTAACATACTCCAGACTGATATTATCCCGTCGACACAAAAATTCGTGATCTAATTTACATGATTCGTGATCTTTGAGGACACGAGAAGACATCCAGTTGATGAGGTAGGCTGCAGTGGATACGGTGTCACCCCAAAAAACTTTAGGCATGTTACAGGAAAACATGAGGCAGCGGGCCACCTCGAGAAGGGGGGGGGTGGTGGGGGGGGGGGGTGTGGTTGGAAGCAAAGGAGGTGAGCTCGCCCAATGAATCAACGCGAGATGAGAGGAAAGGTGGGAGCTCACATGTGTGCGGTCAGCGAACAGAGGAGTCGACGTTGAAGTTGAGCTGCGATTGAAGGAGTCACTGAAGAAGACGTTGTGGCTTTGTAGAGAAGCCCCCGTGACGTCGTCAAGCGTCAAGCGATTCACTGCGAAAGAGTAGTATGGAGCGAAGTAGAGCATCATGCGAGGAGCAGGCCAAATTGCGTGTGAGGGAAGAAGCTTTTCTGTATGTGGATTAGGGCTTGACCGAGGTAAAATTTAATAATGTTAATTTAATTGAATAATAATAAAATTATCTATATATATATATATTGACCCACCCCCCTCTCTCCACTCGTATTTATCCACTATTATATATATTTTATGTTATGCTTGTTAAGGTTTAGTTTTTTGGAGTTTTGGTGTGTGATTTCTATTGGGATAGTCGTCGACGTCCTCTTTTTCCATTTGAGGGCTTTATCGGTTGCCAATACCCACCCTGCATATCCCCCAACATCTCCTGGTACTACTAAATACGTTAAAATACTGTTATTCTCTCTTACAGGCCCGTCCATGAATAGTCTTCCTCCATCTACACTTTCTGTTTCCTGCCCTTGTTCCGCCTGTCAAGCCCTGTGCCCCTTCCCATATCATGTCCTCCTTCCAACAGCCCACCCCTCCATGCCTCTAATCTTCTGCCTTCACCCATTATGTCGTAATCCTTGTTGCATTAACACTATGTCTCTCCTCCATCTGATGCCGTAGCTCCCTCCAGTACAACCAGTTACTATCGTTAGCCCAAACCAGCCCTCCCACTTGCTGGCGAATTGTCAGCCACCGCACTCGTCCTTGACCAAGGGTGTGTTTGTGTTTGTTTGTCATTTATTTCCCGTTTTGACGAGTTTTTGTTGTGACCTTATGAATTTCAACAATAATAAATTTATTTTCTATTATGATTTGGGTTAACTCCGGTATCATATATATATTGTAACATTAATAGAAAATTTTATTAAATTAGGTCTTTTGGTTAGAAATTTAGTTTGGAGGGGCATGGAAGGGGGCAATGTGCGCGAGCTAGCGGAGAAAGATTATCCCGACCGGTAAAGAAAATTTAGGTTTATATTAGGATTTAATTAATGAATTTTTATAGCAAAAATAAAGCTAATTAGGTTTTTTTAATGTAAAACAATGAAAAACTTAACTCTTAAATAAGTTAAAGTTAATAGTTAATTATGCATCAATTTTAGAAGAATCGTGATTAAGGCTAAATTAAAAATAAATTAATTGTCATCGAGGTGAGTACTCATATTTTTAATCTATGATAATTTTATGGTTCTTCTCAAATGTTTTGTATTAGTATTTCATGATAATTGTACAAGCTTTATTTTGACGTATATGTTTTATTTATTGGTTACATTGTTATGAATATTTGTAGCTACTTATTATGATTGCCTTGATGAATGTTGTATATATATATTGAATTGAATGAGATGAACACATGAATGATATGTATATATTTACTTATTATGATCAAGTCACATTTTTACGGTATTAGCAGGGGAACGCTAAGATACTTGTAAACATAAATGAAAAATAATTTTGATATTGAAGTACTTTAAATGGTATAATTTTAAAAAAGTGCTCCTATGCCGGGTGTACATGTATAATATGATATAGATATGTTATTGATATATTGAGATTTATTGAATAACATCAAATATTTATATTTATTTATTAAAAGCTTAACTGACATACATATTACTTTATTTTCTCTTGTGTTACTATAGTTTAAGAGTGCGAGTATTCACCGATATTGTTTAGCTTAGTGTTATTTTAAAAATATCTTTTCAAGTTAATTTAATGGATTATTAGATGAACGATAGATGATAAAAAAAATTATAGAAGACGTGGACAACCTGTAATGAGGTAAATCTAATTATACTGTCTTATTTTAATTATATTAGTGACACTTTCATTTGTTAAATATTATGTATAGAGAATAAATATAAAAAATTTTCTTTCCACCGTCCTATCATCTATGTCTTGGTTAATTCCGACTCCTGGGTCGGGTCGTGATATTTTTACTAGTATAAAATAAAAGATGATATTAAGTTGTTCGTCAAAACTAGCCTAATCTGCTAACATGTAAAATCACAACACGGACAACCAACAAGATCTTTACAACTATTGCTGAATTTCCCAAACGTAAAATGGGTAGAGATTTCATTTGTCGTTTGCCTTCATGGATTCCCAAAATCTATTGTGAGTCATTTTTCTTAACACGATTTGGAAATAGTTATTTTGTTTCAGTGACACAATTGAATTTTGGCAACTCATATCATCCTCAAACAAATTGATAGACATAAGTGACAAATTGTATCATTGAATAATATATGTGATGATTCGCCATGGAAAAATCTTTGCCATTGGTAACTTTTTTGCCCTTGGTTGAATTATCTTATAATACATCTTTACAGTTTTCATCGAAGTATACTTCATTTCAAATATTCTATGAATGCCCAACAATCACATTTGTTTTCAACGACAGTTGTACTTTTGTAGAAGCTATAAAAACAACATTACAAAACTGTAATAAAATTCTTTAGTAGTTTAGTCTCAATCTCTATGCCACACAATCATATGAGACAACCCGTTGATAAGAAAAGACGGGAAGTAACTTTTCAAGAGATCAGGTTTTGGTTCACTTACAAAGTCTCTATTATCTAGCAAGATTACTCCAAACTTACTAAACCCTACTTTGAACATTTCTTGGTGCTTAGCAAATTAGCAGTGTTCTTTATAAATTATATTGGTCATTGATCGTATGTATTCATCCATCTTTTCATGTTTCATTGTTGAAGCCTTATTATAGAAATATTTTATTTCATCCTAAATCCTTATCCACAAATGCATTTGGGTGACACCCGATCAGCATACTAAAAAAAAAGCCACTCCTACAATTATTGGTTCAATGGGAAAGACAACAATCTGAAGACGCCTCTTGGGTTTTGTACTCAAAATTTGTACATGCCTACCCAACTTATGAGCTTGAGGACAAGGTCAATTACAAATGATGATGAAGAAATGATATGAGCCCACCAGAAGACATCACTTCTGAGGGGCGGAGCCCAGGAATTTTTTTTAGTGGGGACATAAATTAATGATTTTAGAAATAATTTTAATTTTTTATTAATCCAGGTTTGGGACTTGGCGGTTTTGAAAATTTCATAAAACAAAATAGTGGGCGAAGCTAGTATTCAACAAAAAAGTTCCAAAAACTTTAAATGCCCCCATTAATCTAGGTTTGGGATTTGACGCTTAATCGGGTTTTAAAAAATATTTTATTAACCGTGATAATCAAATTTGTATTCAATCATACCTAAGAAAAATATTCTATAAGAAGTCAATTAATGCCGAAAATTTCTCTCTATGGCTTAAACAAAGATTACAAAGAACAAGTAAATTTCATCAACTTTTATGATAAAAAAGGCTGAGACATCTTGCCCCAGTATAAGGCAGTAGAGAAAGAGCATAAGAAAAAATAGATTATTGAAACATACAAGATATTGATTTCTTTTTCATTTTTATTTTTCTTTGTGAAAAGGGATAGCATAAATATCTGTGGACCAGATTGTCAATAAGAAGCAACAATACAAATGCAATAACATATTATTATGAATCCAAAAAACGATCCTCTAGACCCATGGGAAAATTCACTCAATCATAAAACATGTGGTAACTGTATAAAATAATAAATTCAGGAATAACAAAATAAATTTATGAGTAAGATGCATGCATTAGAAATCTAGCTATATAACTCAAAGAAGCATCAAGCATGAAAAAAAAAATGGCCACTGAAAGAGGTAGACAACTATTAATTTAGTTGCCTATGAAAACAAGTGTGAAAAAAACTACGTTAATCGGCTGACTTATGTAGACTCTGATA